GGGTTACAAGACCCTATTATAAACATTAATTCCTATATGCTATATCCTTATTTAAAGAAAGTAAGTGTATTAGTTATAACATTTATGCTAGATAAAAGCCTATATTGAGTAGGATCTGCAGTTCCTGGAACAGTAAGTTATAAATTTTTAGAAAGCAAGTACAGGGTCTTCCTCTTCCTTTGAAAGCTCATTTACATCTTAGGAAGTATACTTACAGTCCATTGACATGTATCAGCTAAAATGGGGTAGGCAAATTATAGCCAGGGAGCCAATCCCTAGCTGTTTTTGTAAACAAAATTTCATTCAATATAGCCATGTTCTCCCTGAGACTTTCATACCCTATTTCGCCTGCCTTTGAAGGCAGAGTTGAATAATTGCAACAGACACCATATAGTCCATAAAGTCTAATTTTTTTACAATCTGCCCTTTATACCAAAAAAGTTTGCTGACCCCTGACCTAGAGGTTCTCCCTGTGCCTTCTCCCACTGTTTATATACTTGTTTGTGTTCTAAATAATCTAATGCCACCCCCAGCTCTTACATCTTTTTCGTGAAGTCTGTGGACAGAGCCCCACTAGGAAGTGCTTAGGCCCAGCCAGTCCAAGGCTCTCACTCTCTTACACCCATTCTCTGCCATCCCAGCTCTGCCTCACCACCAAGCCACCTGGATGGGACCAGTGTTGAGTTTTGGGCTCTCCAGGAGTCGTCCTGGGTCCTCATGCTCTTACCTAGCATCACCTTGGGAGGGGGGGTCTCGGAACCTGCTGAGCATGTCCATTGCACATACTTCAGACAAGACTTACTCAGATAAAATATTCTCCCTTTCCACGTAAGAAGGGAAGGGGCTTGCTAGTTTTGCTTCACTGGCAAGAGACTTAAATAAGGCCTGATTATTGTGGGTGCCCAGAAGGGCTCAGTAGCTCAAGCAAAACAGCAGCTCAGAGCTGGATTTTCTACTCCAGAGCTGTGCTCCTAGCTTTCTAAATAACCTTGGGAAAGGTATTGCCTGTTTCTATTCTTGTGGAAATCCAGACATTTCAATCTCCCAAAGGGGCATTCAAGGCCTTAACTTTAATATTTTAAAATAAAAAGACTCATACCAAACTTAAAGTGGCCACAGAGATAGCTCACTCCTACCCTTCCCCATGGTGGATGTGGTAGTCATGGATGTGGTAGTTCACTTATGTCCTGGATCTCTTGTTTTTGTGTACATTAGAGGATTGCAACTATCTGCAATTAATCTGTAGTTAGTTGTGGTCATGCAGCGCCTTGGTCAACTAAATGTAAGCCTAAGTGATGTGTGTTACTTCTGGAAAGGAGATGCAAAAGGTAGCTTTCCCATATTTTCTTTTTCCATCTAGCATAACCAGTGACATTTGAGGTAGTAATTGCTACATCAGCCTGGATCTCTGAGTGAATACCAATAACAGAGCCCCTTGCTGACCCTCAGGGAACATGGGACATGAGCAAGAATAAACCTGTGTTTATTACATTGAGATTTTGGAGTTATTTGTTATTGAAGCATAATCTAGTCTACCATGACTGATAGAACAGGGAAAAACTGAACCTCTACTCAGTAGACCATATGTTATCATTTAAAATTCTGTTTCTAAGGAATAATAATATGAGAAAAAAATCCCTTCTATATAATAAAAAGTAGAAAAGATAAGATATACAAATATACTATGATATTTTATCACATAGACATAACCAATCATTGATGGTCTATTTTAAAAAAGCTTTTCATACACCCACCATACCCCCTTTCTCTTAAAAAGTGAAGTAAAACATTAAAATGCCTGTAGTCATTGTCTTTATATTATGAATCCATAGTTTTCTTCTTTTATGTTCCTGAATTTTCTTTGTTCTTTAATACATTTTTAAGTGTCCCACTGTATCATTTTTAAGTACCCACTGGTGCTTGTTAGATGAAGAACAAGACTTTCTAAAGGCCATTTATCCCCCCACCCCACTCACCTCTCTATCCCACTAGTCAAACATACTATATAGAACTCTTTCATTAGGTTCTCATTAGCTTTAGGGAGAGAAATGCTATACCATCTTTCAAAGACACAAACTATTATCTTAGTTGCCTTTCAGAGATTCCTAGCCCAGCAAACCTGGAAGGAGTGAATATAACTCCAGACATGTAAGCAAGCGATCAGGTGATTTGCTCCAGATCATCTTATAACTTAGTGGTGGACCTGGAGCTAGAGTCCAGGCCGCCTGACTCCTTTCCTGTAGTGCACTGCCCCTTCTATGTGTGGAAGCTCTTTTTGCGGCTGATCTTACTCACTTGTGCTGTTATTTGGGCCCATGGCTTCTTGGTCTATGCAAACAACCAAGCTGTCAACCAGAGTAAGTTCAGAAGTGGATTCTGATACAATAGATATATATTAAGCATAATAAATACCTTTTAAAAAGTTTTTCTAGCCATGAAGTCATGGTTTTTCAGAGCTTACAGACATGTAACCTTACTGCCTCATTTTAGAGATGATGAGATTGGGGCTAAGGAATGTTAAGTATGAATGACATGAAATAATAGAAAAGTAAAAGGTCTTGTGATTCCCAATAAAGTGCTGTTCATTCGTTCATTCACTTTCAATTGTGTATTAAATGTCTGCTATTTGCAAGTGTCAGTTATGCCACATGGGAATTGTAAAGGTAGATTAAGCATGGTATTAATCAACCAAGATTATTGCAACTAAGTATTAGAGATAAGGTACTTGAAAAATTGTTCTCATTAGAATAATTTGGGTTAAAATTAAAATAAAAGATGTCAGATTTCTATATGCCCCCTAGGAATTGATCCAACCTCTGTATTTTTCGGGTTTGTTTTATTTTTTGCATGTCTTTTGTCTTCCTCTTAAGAACTTCCACTTGAGAACTGAACACAGGTCCACTTGAGAACTGAAATTCCTTTCCCCTTTCCTAGTCCAGTGGTTTCTAATCTTCTTTTCTTTTTCTTCCTTTGCCATTATAATGGAAATAATAGATAACACCTTTTTCTAAAGGAAATATTAGACAGAATACCTACACATGCTGATTAGGAAAAACTTCAGTCCTCCTCCTGATTCTCTGTGACACCAGTTGGGTGTCCTACAATTTAACTCAATTCTGACACGTTCTGCCTGGAGGTAGCATGAGATCCCATAGGTTAAGGGCTCAGTCTCACACGACTGCCTATCCCCCAACTTCAGATGCCAATGGCAAGTTCGCCTTGTCACCTATGCTTCTGGCCAGTAGGCTGTAAATCTGGTGTTCCCACAATCCCCTCACTGAGTTTGATGAATTTGATAGAGCAGTTCATAGAGCTCAGGAAATGTTTTCTTACTGTTTACCTGTTTATGGTAAAAGGATAAGATAAGGCATACACATGAACATTCACATTGAAGAAATGCAGAGGGTATGTAGGAAGGGGATCAGAACTTCCACATTCTCTCTGTGAGCCGCTCTCCCAGCACCTCAATAAGTTCACCAACTCAGGAGCTCTATGTTGGGGTTTTTATGAAGATTTTATCACATAGACATAACCAATCATTAACCCCATTTTTAGCCTTTCCTCCTCTCTGGAGAATAGGGGGTGGGGCTGAAAATTCCAAGCTTCTAATCATAGCTTGGTGTTTCTGGTGCCCAGCCCCCATCCAGGAGCTCACCAATGTCACTTCATTGAGATAACAGACACTGCTGTCACCCAGAAATACCAAGGGATTTAAAAACTCCATGTCAGAAACTGAAGTCAGAGATCAAAAATTAGGACAAAAGATGCTCCTAGTGCTCTTATCACTCAGGAAATTACAAGGGTTTTAAGAACTTCTTGGAACATATTTGGGAAATCATGTAGCTCTCAAATTATCACTTTATTACAAAGCCCATCTTATTTATCTACACTAAGAATCCCCAGAAATGCCCACCCCATGTTAATCTTCCCTCCCTCACAGAGCACAGCTGTTCCAGCGAGGGAGCCAGGTGCTGCACGAGGGGTCATTAACAGTCTTACCTGGGCTCACAAATGTTAATTGTGCAAGAAGTCTGTGTGTGTTTTTATAGTTCTCTATGGCTTTACAAGAGATACAAATAATATATGAAAGTTCAGATATGGAGAAAAATACTTTAGGCTTGAGATTATCAGGAAAGAGGAAAGGTTTCATGGAGGGGGTAACATTTGAACCATCAGAAATGGAAATAGACTTATAGATAAGAGGACACAGGAGCGAAGACAGAAAGGCAGGGAGACATGGGGCATCAGCAGGAAAAGGCATGCGATCCTAGTTTGGAAAGAGTCAGGTGTGAAGTAAGGGAGAGACTGTTGGGGACCATACTGTGAGCCACATATTCCAGACAAAAAGGTTACATCTTACTCACTAGACATTGGTGCCTCCATCAGGTCTCAGCAGGAAACAGAGGGCAAACTCAGAAGGGGTAACTGAGGCAAGTTTACAGTTTTTACTACTGACAAAGACATTAGCAGGGTTAAGGGAGACCAGAGATGGATGTTGACCACCCTGGAACCAGCAAGAGCAGGAAATGGTTGACCATCCTTAGTCTTGAAGAGGAAAGGAAAGGAGCAATTACCAGAACCTTATGAGAACAGCAATAGGAAAGGGCTGCCAACAAGGAGCTGTGGCCTTCAACAGAAGGACAATACCAACCGACAGCCTGTCTGGAAGGTCACTGAGGAATGCATACGCCAGCCACTTCACTCTCCTACCCGCTGCAATCTCCTGTCTCCCCTCAGCTGAGGGAAAGATGGGGATGGAAGCCAGAAAGAAGAGAGCCCAGTGCTGCAGTCCACAGTGTCATCCTCCTGGGGCCCAAGCAGGAGAGAGCAGGTGGAGAAGGAGTCTGCAGAAGAAAAACAGAAAGGTTTTGAACCATGCTGCCTCCAGACAGATGAGATTTGTTCCTAAAGTAGTTTCTCACTCCAATCATATTTTTTGAGTGGTTCTCTATTTTCTAATCAGAAATATGATTTTCCTATTTTGGGATATTTTTCTCCAGATTTGAACCTGTGGTCTCAGGAGCTGGGTGACCTGATGGGACATCCTCAAGAAGCTTCTGGACTCTGAACAAGAATTCCTTGGCATGCAGAGCTTGGTTGTTTGTCTTTTCAAATGCCTTTGAATGAGCCAGCACTTTAATCTGGAGACTGCAACAAGACTACACAGCACCCGGCCATGATGTGCTTTAGAGGAAGTCAGGCAGCCCACCCCTTCACTGACCTGGGCCCTCACCTATGCCTCTAAGTAAACACTATTGCACTTTAGAAAATGACCTTACTGGATCTTAGACCCCAGTGAGTGTCCTGAGGCTCCTTCTTGCTGCCAGACTGAAAACAATGTTAATTTATTGCCCTAAGTTTCCAAAATGATTTCCAGAAGCAGAGATAAGTGGATATTTCCAGTTATAGAAATGGGCAGATTGCCAATAGGGTTATTTTTGTCTATAAAATGTTTTCCAGTTTCCTCCGGCTACTGGAAAACCTGTTGAGACTTTAAGCTCATAGGCAGGGCTTTATACAAAATCAAGTCATAATTGACATATTTTATGGCTTACTGGAATCTCAAAAGCTCCTGAGTTGTTCTAATTAGCAGAAAGCATTTCTGTACACAGAGTGACCAACTACAAACTGCCAGAAAAGCCATTATTTTTGTGAGGTCTAAATCACAAAGCATTTATTTTAACTTGTAATGGCATCATATTGAATGGTGTTTTTTTAAACTACATCTTTCCTTCAAAACGTGTTTTTTTAACCTCAGATACCAATGATAAACATTAAAATTTTTTGACATGCTAATATTGTCGTGTCTGCAAAGATTTCAGATGAGCTGGCCCTAATAGCCAAAACCCCAAACTAAGGCTCCTTCTGGCCCTATATATGGCTTTAATCTTAACCTGTCGCTGTCTGTGTCTACATCTGTGATACAGTGATACTAGTTTAGGCCTTTGATGGTTGGCACTGTGGAAATCTTGTGGGATCCTGCTATGTGTGTGTCAAGAGGGAGGGTAACTGGACACAGCAGCACAGGTTAATCATGTTAAGTTTGGTCTTTGTGCCAAGACCACAAAGCCCAGGGCATTAGTTAACTCATGAGCTATCCAAGTGTGTACATCCTCAAGTATAACAGAGTCTCAGTGGGCCTAAAGCAAGCTCTTTAACTGGTGCTCAAAGTGAGAAGAATTTGGGTTAATGGGAATGAAGGCACATAAAAGTGAGTAACAGAGAAACTAAACAACATCTCAGTTTCTCAGTTCTCTGTCTATACAAATCAAAGGATGCCTTTGAAGAATAAAACTCAATTGTTTATTCTTCACTGTGTTTCAGATCTTCTACTTTTGGCTAAGTGGTTTCCTCAGGGCCCACCCAGGTCAGTAAATCTAATATTCAGCCAGGCCATTTGGCTCCCATAGGTTTGAAAGCCTTTGAGGCACACTTGGATGCTCACCTCAAAGGGCAGGATCCCAGGGCTGTTTTCCAGGCCCCATATGTTGGTCTGGGCCCCTGCTAGAGGAGCAGCATCTCCTGATGCTGTGGAGATCAGGATAGGCAGACAAGGCCTCCTCAAGAAAGCAGGTTCCCTGATGCTGGGCCCCATTCTCCCAAGACATGCTGGCAAGCTGAATCCTTGGGCAGTGGTGTTTAACTCTATTAGGAATCCAAAGGCATAATGGCTTCTGTCAAAATGCAGCCATCTTTGTTTCTAGATTGGAGCTATTTTCTAGAATAACAAATAAGGACAAGGTCTCGAGCCCCAGTGTCCTGAAGTTCAAGCTTCTGACAGTCAGGAAGAAGCCCATAAGGCAGTGTGTCCTAGTACGACAAGTGTTCTATACTACAGCATACCATCATAACATCTAACATTTATCAAGTACTGACAATATGACTGATACTGTTTAGCATTTTATACATATTATTTGACTGATTTCCCAAAACCCTCTGAAAGGGGCACTATTTATGTCTCCATTTTAAAGATACTCTGAGGCAGAGAGGTTACGAAATTTAGTTAAGGCTACCTGTTTAGTTTGGAAGGGATAGAGCTAGAGCAATGAAATTATATTCACTGTAACCCATAATGTGACCTGATTTTCTGCCGGATGAGACTCTAAGATGGGGCTTTACCAGCTGCATACCTCCTGTAGTCTCTTTTGCTCTTCAAGGATTAAATTCACTCTTACTCTTTCCAGGGAGGCACTATGGGGGGTAGGAGGGAGGTGGAGTACAGACTCTGGCATCAGAGATTCCAACCCCAGCTCAACTGTGTATGGTTCACACAACTTCAGATATATCTGTTTATCTCTCTAAGCATCATTTTCCTTATCTAAAAAATGAATAATATGCGAAAGGCATTTAGCACCTTGCTTTATCAGGCAAATAGTAAATATTTGATAAACATCAGGTATCACTGATAATTCCCCCCAGTGCCAGCCACAATCCTTGCCAAATAGACAATACCCAGATACTATCAAGCTAATCTGTCTGCAGGACATTTCTCCTATACCCTGCTCCTGAGGGAGCGGTGACTATGATCCTAGCTGAGGTATATCAGCAAGGGTCTTGTGTCCCTGGACTTTCCTATACATATCACATTCTCCAGTAAAGTCAAAGGGCTCGCCAATCTCCAAGTGTGCCTTATCTTCAGCTGAGCCTCCGCCCAGAACACCTCCCTTCTGGAGCCTCATTCACCCTGGCAAAATCCTACCCACCCTTCAGATGCCAGCTCTGCCAGTGAATATTGTTTGATTTCCTCCAATTGAATATAAACTCTCTTTACTTTAGACAAAGCAATTCTTTCTCTGTCCGTCTGTGAAGCAGTTATCTTTCTTGGTTTTGAATCATGAGGATTTGAGAATCTATTATATCTTCCCCTTAGATTATAAGCTCCTGGAGGATAGGGAGAGAGTAAGTTTTGTCATTCCTGCTGCATCTTTTATACAATGGCTTCCTCATGCATGATTGGTTCTGAGATTCATTAGAATATTGGAGAGAATGGCTACACTTAACGTTTTTACTTTTTATGACCTTAATGTGATTCACTAAAAATATATATAATGGCAGTCCTTTAAAGAGCTGAATGAGTTCTAAGTCTTAAAAAAAAAAGTGCCTTTCACAAAGGGAGCAAATTAACATTAGGCAGAGTTTGAGGAACTGAGAAAGACAAAACATAAAAATCACCTATGATCTCATCATCCAAGCATAAGTATTTTCATTTTTGATGTTAGCTTTTGCTCTTGTCCAGACATGTGCATAATTTCAGCTATAGTTGTAACATTATAATTTTCTAGCCTTTTTAAAATTGTCATTGTTCCATAACCTCACACCTACGTTCTTGACTAGTCTTCCTAACTATCATTTGTAATGGCTGCCTGGCTCACAGATTCATGATGAGCTAGAATTGGGCCCAAACTCTACCTATTACCAACCATTTTAAGTCCCTGGACCACAGTGGCATTTGGGGTTCCTAGGGATTAGTGTTATCTCAGACCAGTATTTAGGAATCCCTGAAAAGTCTGGGTATTTCTATTTCCTCCAGTGCACCGACCTTAGTAAGTTACTTCAAATCCCTTTGGGGATGACTTGGAGGAAGATCTGCAACAAATATTTGTAGCACTGTTGCAAAGTCCTTTCTCTTCAACCAGGAGCTCCACATCTGTGAACTGGTAAGGTCTGGGAACTAGGGGCGAAGCTGTATGAGTCTCAGTTGTGAAAACTCAAATCAGATTTTTATTTTATAGATCAAATGATGCTTTGATAGGCTGACCAAGTATTCAATTCTTACAGCCAGCTAAAGATTCCTGTGAGTAAGACATTTTGATTGCCACTCTGGGATCTCATCATCTCCATTGAAATCAGGAAGCCCATTTCCCACTATCATCCTTGACCTACAGAAAACAGACACCTGAGGTGTTTAAAGTTGCTAGGGCTCCCTCATTAATGAATTTCTCAATGCTTTAGTGAAGGGAATATTCTTTGGGTACTTTTAGAGTGAGGAAAGATGCACAGGTTACCCATGATAAATTACTCCCTTATTCCTATTTCCTTTACTGTACATTATTCTAGAGAAACTCTATCAACTGAACATCATTAAATGTAGCCTACTGAGCATAGGTTTCAGGCAGCCAACTAAGCACACAGAGCCACTCTCAACTACTCAAGCTAATATATTTGTTTCAACTAGCTTTTTCTGTCTTAGAAAACTTTGTGGCTTATGTTTATTATTTATGTTCTTATGATTTTTGTAGGTTAGCTATTTGGTCTGTGCTCAGCTGGGGCAACCTGTTTCTGCTTTACATGGTGTCAGCTGGGCTCACTCATGCATTGCAGTGAGTTGACAGATTGGCTGGAGATGCTAGTTTTAGATGGCCCCACTCATAAGTCTTGGAGTTGATGCTGGCTGTTGGTTGGGTCACATGTCTCCAGCAGGTTAGTCCATGCTTCTTCAACATGGAAACTGGTCCAAATTTAGCAAAAAGAGGGCAAGCTCCAACGTGCAAGTGCTTTTCAGATATCTGTCTGCACAACATTTGCTGATGTCTCATTGGCCCAAGCAGGTCACATAGCCATAACAAAAATTAATGTGGAAGGGGATTATATGAGAGTATGATATACAAAAATGGCATGATTCCCTGGAGGCTATTACCATAACAGTGTACCATAGCATTAAGTCCAAAAACCTATAGAAAGTGTATTATACCACGGCTACCTAATTTTGGCCCCAACTCAAAACTATGTTCTGTACTTCTTGGTCTAATATCCTAAGAATCCATCTCCATACAAGCAAGGTTTCTTTCAAATACAGATTTAATACCTTGTAATTCTTGTGGAATATAAACCTTTTCTTCCTGAGCCAGACTCTGCCTGTTTCTCCCTGAATATGCTGGGATCTGACTCAAAATAAAAGCCTGAAGGCCATGAGATTGGAAGAAGTGATGTTTAAAAAGAATAGGGATCCCGTGCAAAGCAACCACCTCATATGTCATTATTACCAGGTTTTTCAAACAAAGAAAGACTGGTATCATCAAACAGGAGATAAGAGTCTACTTCCTCTACCAAAGGAAGTTCAAGGATACTAGGGGGTTCAAGATTCCCAGCTTCGTCCTAGTCCACCCCATTCCTAGTCTCAGAGTCCTATTCCTTCCAAATTACTGCCTAAACTCTCATGTTTGAGCCTTGGCCAGTCTGTGAATGGGTAGCTTTAGAAACCCTGTGATGCTCTGAAGATGATCTGAGCTGAAACCTCTATACAAGCACCATAGTGTGATCAGAAGCAGCCATCTCACCTCACATTCCCTATAATCATCTTTACTACCAGTAAAATAATTCAATGCAGCAGTTAATTGATTTCCAAAAGCCCGCTTCCATTGGCACTCAAACCTAGCAAGAATAAATGATAATTTAATGCCATAGATTACCAATTTCCATTTCCATTGGCAAGGTGTTCCACTCTAAGTTCAAAGCAATTCAACCCCAGAATCCTGTTTTTGAGGGTCTCTTTTAAGTATCAAGTACTGCATTAGCCAGGATGCAGTAGAGTGGATTCAGTATTAGGAATTGGTTATAAAGACATTAAAAGGCAGAAAGAATAAAAAGTGGATACCAAAGAGACCCTAATATTAGAAGTGCAGAGAGCAGCTAACTTTCTGTTGTCTGCTGCTACTGAAGTAACACTTTCAGGAACTACAAAAAGGAAGGAATTCTCCCTCTCCCACATTCCAGTCTCTAGGGTTTCTGATTTACTAAACTTAACAAGATGCCAGCTGATAAGGAAGCTGGTAAATGCCAAATGCCAGCCCTGGCAT